TTCTGTCGGAGCTGCCTGCGACGCGCTGATGAGATCCAAAAAGATCGAAATCGCGATCCGCGTCTGGCAGTTTCGACAGAATACAGACCACTTCGAATTATTTTATTCCACCATACATTATGATAAAAGAATCTTTCCAGAACTTATAACGAACGTTCTATGACTGTGTAAAAAGTTATTTACTGTCAAACGAAGGATAGTGGATTGAAGACAGAAGATATAAATTGTGCGAAAACGAGAAGCCCAAACGGTGACATAAATTAATACGTAGTGAGATAAATAATAACATGCAAATGAACTAAAAGAATTATAATGAATAAAATAGAACAAAACGAAGCAAAACAACCTGAATGTCTCTATATTCTATAATGAACAATATTTAGGCAGATGAGAATAAAATTTAATCATCATAATCATAAGATCGTCAGTCCTTAGACTGGTTGGACACGCATCTCCACCCCTTCCTATCCTGAGCTAGTCTTCGCATTTCCCTAAAACTTGAACAGCCCATATTCTTAACTATTTGCGAACAGTAATCTAATCTAAGTCTACCTCTACCCCTCCTAACTCCTACTTCTGCTTCTAATATGTCTCTGACTAGCCCTTCATGCCTGAGAAGGTGTCCTACTAACCTATCTCCCCTATTTCTCATTGACTTCCATAAAGTCCTCTGTTCTCCTATTCTTTCTAATACCTCTTCATTTCTAACCTTCTCTATCCACGGTATCCTCATCATTCATCTATAACACCTCGCTTCCAACGCTTCTAACCTTTTCTTTTCCGCAGCGCCTAACGTCCATGTTCAACACCGTGGTAAATTTCGAAAACAGTAGTTTTAAGACACACTGGTGAGCTTTCGATAAATATATGTTATTTTCTCTGTCAGACACCCTTTTTATAATGTGCTTGTAGCTGTGCATTACACAATAATCTATTTTTATAATTATAGTCATCATGAACAACTTCCATAGAAGCTAAGTCTACCTAATTTGGACTGAATGTTCACACTTTCTCGCTTCATGTTTTATTTATTAACGACATTATATGTGAACTCGGTACAAGTGTTGTGTCTAAAATCATAATTATTGTTACAAGAGCATGTGGAATGCTATAAGGATAGATAATGTTGAATTGTTTTCAACAGTAGGTAGTTGGTATAAACGCCTTATTTCGTAAGAATTTGTTCATTATGGATAATGAAAACTTATGATACATAATTAACGATAATTCCTTGTTTAGACAAAAAATTATAAAGAATAATTGTATTATTGTTTTTATCTCTTATGACCTGTCCACGGGTTTATTGCTTTTATTACATTCACCTGTTCTCTTTAAAGTAAGTGATACATAGGAGAAATTATTGTGGGGTCTTCAAATTATAGAAATTTTCTGTAGAAAATATGTACATACATCCCCATACAAATCTCTGTTTATTGTAAGTTTCAGCACCATCTGTGGTAGGGAGGTTATGGGTTAGAACAAGAGGGTAATGACCGATCTCATAACCTAAATACTTCGGTACTCACTTAGACCATGGATTCATGATGGGCGCTCTTTTTAGAGTAGACGCTTTGGTAATTTAGAAAATTTATACAAAATATTGTACTTCGAAAGGATCTTCTCAAAAATTTTATCGTAAAGCTATCGGGAAGTAGATTATCTGAAATTTTCGGCGTTTTTCTCATATTTGACATTTTATCTGCCCACCAAGGCTTTACCATGGATGATTACGTAGCAGTTGGTAGAACATTATTGAGGTGAAACACAATAAATACGTGGATGAGGATAATAAGTGGATAAGGTATAAATCTTAAGAAGATAAGGTGTGTGTTGCGCAATATAATCCAGTATACTGGCCAGTGCTGATGTGTCATGAATCGACGCCATATTGTACTGGTGTGCCACCATATTGTACTGGTGAGACAAGAGTCACGTAGTAGTATTTCAAACGGGCGTGTGTGAATACGACTTTGAGGAATTTTTTATTGCAAGAAACTTTACTAAAACTTTTGGAGCAAAATTGTCGTAAACGAGCACAAACTCTATTCTCAATATGGCGCCAATTTGACGTCAACGTACTGCCCAGTATATTTCGAAACGAATCAGTATGACGTCGATTCATGACGTCGTCAGCAGTGGCCAGTATGCTGGGTTATATTTCGGAACACACCTAAGATAAGGAGAGACTTCGGTTACGACATAGAATAGTTACTACCTGCTTTCATACAAAGGTGGTAAAAGAAAAGAAATTGTTAAAATGTTTTTGTGAGGGTCCCTATTTTATGGAGGCCCTGATGGGCACCAGTCCCAAATAGCCTGTTAGCTTTGGTTAGGCTTTAATTTATATCACATTTGGTTAATCCTCTAAAGCCACATAATTTAAAAACTCAGTTGCTGCAGTTAAAATAGTGATAAAGGGTTAACTTACGAGCATGTCCATTAGCTTTCTGATAAACCCCATTGTGACTGGCATGGCTGGCATGTCCATTCTGAGGTAATCCAAAACCATTATGATTGTGGCTACTGGCTTGACCATTGGATAATCCGAGATTTTTCGGATGATTAACGCCACTATGATGAGCGTGCTGGCCGTTACCACGTAAAATTGTCTGATGCATGTTTTTCAGTTTTAGAGAAAACGCACTTCACTTACACTGCAGTTTAAAATTACCTATACAAGAAATACTAAATCACTTATGTTCAATTGTCCCGACTCCCATTATTAATATTGGTCGTTTAGTCAGCTGAAACAAAAGAAACTCCAATTAACCAGGCAATTGTCTTGTTTAAATCAACTTAAACATTAACTGATTTCGTTAATAGTTAATAACTTTGTGTAGAAGAGAAATTTTGGAAGATCAGAGTTTAGCAACAAGACTGCATTCGTGAATTTATTTTCAGAATGTGATATCTTCATGTGACCAAGGAATATTTATTTATAAAGACTTCCGTGTAGCCGTGTGTATGCACAAATTTTTAGTTCTTGTTATCGTCATGTTTAAATCTAACAAAAGATCTTACAAGAGCCGTGTAAACAGGTTAATACTTTTTGCGAACAAATCTACAAGGTTCATATCATTATCACTTAACAATTTCGTAACAAGCAATTTCGCTCGCTACCTTTGCGATCGAGCTGCACGTTCGTTGTACACTTTTTTGCATAAAAATGCAGTTTAACTGTAAATGGAAATTCAGTGGTGTTTGCTGTAATGGTTCAGTATGTCGAGGACGCAGTCTTTACGATATAATCGGTTATTCTGAGGGATTGGTGGTGATTTGGTTAGAAAATAAATCATAATAGAACAATTACATTTCTTACAAACTAATAGAAATAAGTCATTAGTTTCTAATCATATTTTGCACTAAATGATACAAACTCGACCGAACATTGCACTCTTTGTCAATGGCAATTTGATGTTGAAAAGTTGGTACCCTACTTATAATTGACGTGCCTGACCTTTCGCACAAGGCGGTATCAACTGGTGAACTTCTGACTTGATTCTTTTGATTTTGTCACCTGTTTTATTGATATGGCAGCTTACACTTGGCTGAGTGATTTTGAGCTTTTTGCCCATAGACCACAACGGTTTGTGTATCCTCCGATATATCGTCAGCAGGTTCAATTTTTCAGTCTAATTAGCAAACTGTTTTTGGAAGAATGTTTGGATAAGGGAACTCACTTAGGTCTTCAACATTTTGGTCATTGATGTCCCATTGTTTTATATGAAAAATGATTACAAACTAATAAACTGTTTGACATTGAAATCGTCCATTTGAACCCAAAATCTTTATCTTTTGTGCGTTCATACTCTCTGACTATTTCTAGGCTTGAATTTTGTACCCAATGACAGGTTAACTTTACAAAAGGTCATTAACCGTTCTAAGAAAATACAGAATTTTATAGAGATTACAGAAATATATAAAACTTTTTTTAAATGTCTTGTTGACTGCAATGAACAAGTTAGTCGATATCTTCCTTTACGCCAACGTAATTGAATATCAATGTATCATAAGAATCTTCAATCATTATTGGATTGATTTAATGAATTTCTCGGTAAAGATCCTCCACTTTCAATGAACAAGGTAGTTGATATCTTCCTTTACTTTAACATAATTAAATATTAATGGATCACAAGTATCTTCAATCGTTATTGGACTGAACTAAAAGATCCTTTATTTTCAATGAACATTATAGTTTATATCTTCCTTTACTCTAATATAGTTGAATATCAATGGGTCACAAGTATCTTCAATCGTTATTGGATTGAACTACTGAATTTCACAGTGAAGATCCTCTCCTTCAAGAATCTTAGTAGTGTAAATTCATCATATTTTACCATAAATAATGTATAATAGTTCACTGTCTTTGAGTAACATTTTTGATAACAGACTGATCTTCAATATTCTAGTATATTTGAACTAGTATTTGACCAAAATGAGTTAGATTAGGTTATAAAAGGTCGACGACCTTATACAATATTCATTACAGTTACAGAAACCCGTAAATCTAGGCAACATTTAAGTACGTCCATAATTTCGAATTAGTGCAGAACTACGATGTACTCGGACATAAAACGAACTAATGAAAAAACAGGGAGAGAGGATACAAAATAATGCGTAATCCGTCTTTGTTTTTTGTAGTCGTCATGGTCTGTTTATTTCAGACGATACGTTTTGTGTTGCCTTCCTCTTTCTACGTCTCTTTGTACGATGTTTCCCATCGATTCCAGGTCACCGGATGACCGGGCCAAAAAGCACGAAACCGAAATCCGGATTTCCGTTAGCTCATAACGTGTGACAAATGCATACAGTTCGCCGAAATGTAACAGTAATTAAAGCGTGCATTAACGGCAACGTCAGTAAGTGTGCTTTTCTTTTCGGAAAAACAAAGAACGAACAAACAAATGACAGAATTCCGCTACACCATTCCATACATAACCTCATTCAGGAACAAATTATTCAATGTATTATCTACGTATTTTATACAAAACTCCAAATCGGTAGTGAAATGTTTGGAAGGTGTTCGTAAGAAAGGAAGAGCCATTAGAGCGACCGGAACTTAATTAAGCACGGCCTCCTTCAATTCGAATCTCGAATTAAATGACGTGCGAAGAGATCGCGGTTGGCGATGTCGGTGATGAAGCATTGTTCTCTGTCGCCACCACCGCGTCGATCGCTCGACGATCGGACGGGCGGACCGCTTGATGGATGATGAGGACGATGTCGGTTAGGAAGAAAGTGAACAGTTCACTTCGTGACCGAACGAAAGTGAAAGGATTTACGGGGTGAATGAATGAAAATTCACAACGCGGTCCATTTGATTGGGTCAGTGTGATAAACAATGGTACAGACTCGGTAGAGTACGTTGAACTTTTTTCATTCGATTTATTATCGAAGCAGGTTTATTAAAATAGAAGAAGGAAACAAAAGAGTACTGTTCGTTTCAAGAAGTTGGAGATATGCCCTTTCCCTTTATTAGGATGCGCCGTAGCATAATTCCAAATTCAATCATATTTGTCTGCGGAGTTCATTTCTCCACCGATCATCGAGCGAGAACTAGACAAAAGTGTACAGTACCATTTGCAAAATTATTTAAACTGCCTCGTTAAAATTNCTACAGATATTCGAGTAGAATTTATTTTTGGGAACCGGTTCGGTCCCGATTGGATTTTCCCAAATTCAAATGGGGTTCCAAATGGGATACCCGAACGGTTCCCTATTGGAAATGTAACGCTTTCCCCACCTGGGACCCGGTAGGGAAAGCCCTAATTGAAAAATTTGGGGAAATTCCAAATGAATTTTGTCTAACCTCAAATTTTCTTCTTCATGTATTAAAGATAACTCCCGATTTTTTTCACGAAATCTTCTGACACGTAAACGTGTTCACGACGTCCTTCTTGCGATGAATAATTTGTTGGTATAGTACATAAATAAGTTGTTGAGAATATCGATGTTGATATACGAAAAAAAAAAGGGGTATGTCTAAATTGTTTTGTAAACTACTAGTAGTTATACTGGTCACGAACGCACGCTACCCCCACTTGCTATTCAAAATGTTTTCTTGGGTTACAATAAAAATAAGTCTAAGATATAGTTAGGGAAATTCCGATTGGGACGCAATAAATACTTTCCAATAAATGGCTAACTGTTACATGAAAGTATAAAAATAATTATTAATAGGATACAGTAAATAAAACAACTATTTATTATTTATACATTAAATTGGGCAAAGNTTTTAAGAAATTGCTAAACATTTTCGTCTAGTACTGTACAGTTCTAGCCGATCTCTTAAGGCCGCCCATAGAGAGCTCTGCTCGTTCAAGCTTGTTCCGACTATTTCTGTCTTGCTCACGCCTACTGTGTATTCTTTCTACTTTCGCGCATATTTCTTCAAGGTCACAACTCAAACAAATTCAAATGGGTTCTATTTAGAAGTACAGATGACGTTATGACATGTGAAAATTGTTTTGACACAAACAATAATGAAATAGATGTAATCTGTATAAAACCTTATTCCATCCAAACACCATCTACGTCAGCATTTACTTGTGGTACTGTTACATCCTTAACATCAAGCTTCGGCAAGACACTATATGTATCGTCAACATTTTATTATTGATGTCAAATTACTTGCCAGAATATCTACTTTTTTTAAAATGCATGAAAAGGACTCTTCTCTAAAGCGTCACCGCGCATTTTAACTGGGATTCTCAGCTTGAAAACCCTATACTCCGTGAAATTGTTCTTAAATTTTATGGGATATTAGCTGGATCGATCATAAAACCGACTTTTCTGATTTATTGCGAAAATGCGACCCTGTTATTAATAGAAGAACTGTTTGTATTACGTATACAGTGGTACCTCGAGATACGAGTGCCCTAACATACGAGTTATTTGAGATACGAGCTATAGAGCGAGTGAAGTTTTGTTTTGAAATACGAGGTTTTTGGCCCNTAATTATTCTTTAATAATATTGTAGTTGGGAAGTGCAGTTTGGGCAAAGTTTGGGATTGCCCTAAAATACGCAGATCAAAATTCATTGGGTAATATAGGTGGAAAATGCCCAATTTGGGCAAATCCAACAATCAGCAATAGAGACCCAATTGGAGTTGGGGAATTAACAAAATAAATTCTACTGGGGAAGTGCAAATGCGTGAATATGATTTGTGATGTTAATGAGCGACTGAATTCTACTGTATTTCTCTCGGAAGGAATCCCTTTTTATTTAAACGAATTTTAAGTGGCTACCAACAAAACGCTCGTTTTTATTCAGTCTATAGAATGCATACGTGTAGATAGAATAAGCCTTTCTTCTCTTCGCATAATCCGTTGCTACACTTCCGAGACAGCTATCCGCTATTCCGAGATTTATTACTTGCATACAAGCACAATATTATAAGAAACAACACAGGAAATAATTTGCAACTAACAGCATTTAATATCCCGTTTTCAGGTGCGCATCGTTTTGTCTTTTGAGAAGGCTGGAAAACTTACGTAATTTCCAGTGAATTTGTTCTCACAGACACTGCTGAAACTCAAAACGCGTTTTTAATTCGCAGGGATTTTAGTGTTGCGAAATTCTAGTCGTGTTTTTTACAATAACTGTTTTCTTTGCAAGATTTAATGTGTACCTATTTCATAATAGCTTAACCGGTTTATGAATTACACCACTACCATTAAGTTACACTTCTCTGGAATTTTATATTAGACAAGTAAAACCACAAGGTTCTTTCGAACAGGTTTT